AACAACACTTCAAACTCCCTATCCCAAGTCCTACTCCACAGGCGCACCTCTTTCAATCCTCCCGCCGGAATCGCATACCCCGACTGCACGCGATCGTTTCCTCCTTTGACGTGCACGCCTTTGATCGGGTCGTCGAAGTACAGGCGGCACGCACGGGTGTTCTGCCCTTTGATAGTGATCTTTCCGGTACTAGCCGTCAATCGAGTGGCATTGTAGGTGATCAGATCGGGTTTCACTGCGGAGGACCCAAATTCGAGTCCAGTGTCGGTCACGGTGATCGGTGCGACGTTCGGCGGCGGTCCAGGATACTTGCAGCTCCAAAGTCCCGCTCGCTTCTCTTCTGCTGAGCCACAAGTGACCAGTCCCTTGGTCACTGCATCCTGTCCAGACGGCGTGGAAGGGACGATGTACCGGTCTAGGTAGCCCTTCACCGCGACGAGTTCGATAAGGTTGTGAGGCTCGGTAGCGTTTGCGTCCAGGTTCACGGTCTGTTGGAAGTAGACCTTGAGTGGAGACGAGAGGCTGAAGGGGAAGGCGAGCATATTGTAGGCGACGGTGAGGATGAGAACGAAGACAAGGAGCAGGGTGAAGATTCGGTGGATCTTGTGGATGAATGGAGCCAAAGGCAGAATGATGAAGCAGGAGAAGATGGCTACCATCAGGTAGACCGAGAGCGGCTTGTTCCCGTCTGCCAAGGTTTGTGAGGTAGATGTAAGGAGAAGCAAGACGATCTGAGTAGTCAAGATGATGGGGAAGCCGGCAGCGAGGAGGAATTCGATCCCCCACATCGGCGTTGCCCAACGTCGGTCTTCGAAGACCCATTCATCCCTGTCTGCGTTCTTCGGCAAGAGAGATGATCTCTCTGTAGGCTCGGAAGCCTCCGCCTCCTCGTGTCGCTCCCGTTCTTCGTAGTCACCATCATCCTCCGCACCGTTCGTAGGCCCGTCGTGCACTCTGTGCACCTTGTGCACCTTGACCACCCAGAGCATCTCCAAGAGGGAGACGGCCAGTGCGGCGAGCGTTCCTGCGTGGTAGAACGTGATGAAATACAACCCGCCAACTTGGAGCACCTTGAGGACAACGGTGTCGAGGACGAGCAAGCTCCACCAGAAGAGATAAGTCTGGAGGAAGACGACCGCTCGCTGGGCCGGCTGACCACCTGAGGGTGGCCTGTACCAATTGAGTGCTCGGAGGATGGCGTACAAGATGAGATAGAATGTGATGAGCAACGATGCGAGAACGCTGTAGGAAGACGAGTAGACAATCTGAAAGAGCCGGTCAGAATAAAGCTCGAGAGTACAAAAAATCAGCTTACATAGGTTGAAAACTTAGAATAAAGGTATGCCAAGCCGAAAGTAGCGGCGGCAGCGAGGATAGATGCCAGAGGAAAGCGAACCCATCCTTCAGTAGACCATGCCAACTTGCCCCGCTTCTGAACGAGGATAATCAAGGCAGCGGCAATGACTGGACCGACGGCCAGAGCGACGATATTTAGAATGAACATCGTGTTTTGTTCCAGCACGACCAGAGACACTCCGAAGACTGAAGTCCTAGGATCAGCGAGGTGTTCCCATTGCGACTGCCAAGATTACTTACGATCAAAGTACACTGGCTGTCCTCCGCCCTCAGATCCGTCCTTGGCCGCATCCAGAGCTTCGGTGGTCCGGAGACTGGCCGCCATCATGGCCCAAAGACTGCCCTTTCCTTCAAGAGCCGGGACCGAGTCGTACTTGGTATGATACCTCGCTCGCTTACGATAGAATGCGAGATCAAGGCCTTTCATGCCCGCCTTGTCGTAGACTTCGAAATCGGTGCCGGACCGAACGACACGTCTCTTGAACGCATCCGCCGACAGGACTGTGCCGTGAGGTGCACGAACGGATCGGAAGGCCTTTGTCACACCTGGGAAGGACGTCAGGACCTGTCACTAATCGCTCGATTCTGGATACATACCAGTTGATGACGTGCGGAAGAGCAAAGGTCGACTAATGGTTTGACGCGCATCAGTAATGAGGAGAGACAATTCAGGTCATTTGGTTTACCCTCCATTGCCAGCACCTTCCAGATTGAGGAAGACAGAGACTAGCTTAGCCCACGGGTGTTCCAAGAATGCATGAGCACCGTTCAGCCAATCTTCCTCCCCATTGTTCAAGTTGAAGATGATATTCCGGCGAGGCTGATTCCGAGCGTAATAGTCAATCAGGCTCAGTGTCGTGGCAACTCCCATTCCATCATCGGTAGCACCTTTATCGGTCCGATGATGTCAGACCATGAGGCTGTCAGGGATGGTCTTCACAGTGAGCTCACCTGGTGCGGTCGAAACAGAGTCAAAGTGTGAAGAAACCAGGATGCCTCCTTGTTGGTCCGCGTCGTCGTCAGAACCGTCGATCTTGACTAGCACGTTGTTTCCCTCGAAGTATATCACTTGACCGGAGGCGTACGTGCCATTGCTAACAGTATCGTCCGCAACGTGGAAATAGCTTCCCGTCTGTTTGCCTATCGCTTGAACGCGCTCCAAAATATACGACCTCACCACATCGTTCTGATGAGAATTGTAAGGGTGCGGGAAAGCCGTAATCTACCGGGTAAGAGAGGTAACGGGAAAAGGTTGAAGTTGAATCAGCTACCAACGTGACCGCAAAATATAACATGATACTTACATGTTGAAGGTCATTCCAGGCAACATCCAAGTCTAGTCCTAGCCGCTTGGAGAGTTTCTTTGGGGCATGAAGGGTTCCCTCGTGGATCCAAATGCTTGCGATCAAAATTGCTGCATATGTGGCGAGCGTGAGGACGGTGACCGGTCTCGTCGAGAACGAGAAAAAGTCGATAATCCTCTGAAGGATTGTCATTTTGCTCCCGAATGGTGGATGTTCAATCCGGGGGGTCGTCGTTGAATGGAACCAAGAACCGTCACATGTTCAATGACGTCGTAGCAACGCACGCTGATTGGTCAGCTCGTTCGACCCGACGGGACTCTCAGTGATCCAAAGATGCATGCAAGCCAGAAAAGAGACTAGAAAGATCGTATTGCTTAATTGACAAATCCAAAAGAAGACGTGCATAAGAATCAATCCAATCATGATGTGCTTAATCGAGCTTTCTTGTGCCCTTCGTCGGGGGCGTCCGTTTTCTCCTCCGCTTTGCGTTTCTGTGAAGAGCCCTCCTCTCCGGATGCATTCGGTTTCTTGACTTCGGTATTGGTTGTGGAGGCTGACGATTCTTGCTTCTTAGCCTTTGGCTTTTCTTTCTCCTTCTTCTTGATCACGACGCCTTTCAGAATCGATTTTTGATCTTTCTTCCCGAGCGAGGACTTGGTCGGAGCGGGTACTGGGGCTGGTGCCGGCTTTGAGGATTTTGTAGCTGGGGCGGAAGGAGCAAGAGGAGTGGAGGATGTAGATGCTGTTGGGGATACCTTTTCAGCTAACTTGGCCTGCCCGCTATAGAGACTAATATAAGTTAACACTCCAAGCAGACGCAAGCGAAATACCAACGCCCGAAACGCTGCAATCTCGTCTAATTCTTGTTTCTTCTTCAGCTTTTCTTGTTCAATTCTGTCATCCTGAACTTGCGCGAGGAAAGCCGAATCTTCTTCGTCAATCCCTCGAAACTGATTACCTAGTCATGATGTCGGGTCAGAGATAGCGAAAGAGAGGGACAGGCTCATTTTGAGACCCACTGAGTTTCATTTTCTCGTCCCATTGCTCCTGTTTGAGCGTCTGCGTAAGCTGGTGTCAGCACTGTATCCACGGACGGCGGGTGGTCTAGTCTTAACCTTTTGCTCTTGCAAGCGCTATGGATGAAGCACCGAGATTCAGTGCGCATGAAAGCGCTAGTCGTGTAGGAAGACGGACCTCGAACAGAGACCTCCCGTCATAATCCTCTACTGGCCGTGGTGGTGGCTCCTGACCCATCCTTTGAATTTCAATTTTCCGTCGAGTGTGGTTCACATAATCAAGCGCGAAGGAGATTGGTCCGTCAGCACATGGTAAAGGACCTGCCCAGAAGCTGCGCTTACCTTGCATACGCAGCCTTCCACTGTTCATCTCTGGTAGCATTTGCGGCGTCAATCTCGTTTTGGGAGACAAATCTTGACCCAACAGCACCCGTAGACATTGAAGGGATGCTCTCATCCATGTTAGTTAGTGATATGGCTTGTGGTGTTGATGGTCAAAGTCGGTGGACGATGTGAGTCTCAATTTGGTCGGTGGCGCAGCCTTGTTCGTTTTGCCCGCGAAGGCCGCTCGGTATGCACTTTCCAGCTCCTCTGCAGATGCTTCGTGAGCGCTGCAATGAAGAGGGCGTAGGTTCCCTGGATCAGAAGGAGTTTATCACTAAACGGTATTAGGGATTCACCGACCCCAGGTTACGGAACATCAAGTTCGAAGCTATCGCGGTCGTTGAAGCTCCAGAAAAAAGTATGATAAAAACATAAGGACTCTTAGGCTGGCTAGAATGGCCTCAAGGACGAGATGTGTAGTATTCTTGTTTTGGTAATGCCAGCGTCAGCGACATTTGATAGGATGGCTTGGGCGCTGACAAATGTGGAAGGGGATCTAGCTCATCGGTAGAGCGCTCCCTTAGCACGTCACAGCTTGTGACCCGCTTGGGAGAGGCGCCGGGTTCGACTCCCTGGTTCTCCAAATCTTTTGCTTTT